ACTTACACCCAGGTTGAAGCAAGCTTCCTGGCTTCCAAACTCATTTATGGCATTGTGTAGAACAAAATGGGTTTTCCCTAGCCAATGTTGGTCAGAAACCCTGTGAGGAGTGTGGAAGATTTGCTGAGCGTAAATCCATTCTCAGCACTAAAAGCAGGGCTGTGAGACAGCTTAGCAGTCTAAGTGCCTGGTTTGATCTCCGACATTTCATGTGCTGGCCCTGCTCCAGGCATGTTGGCCACCAAAGCCAGGCATGGTGGCACACACCTGTAATCCCAGCACTGGGGAGGCTGAAATGGGAGGATCACTATAAGTCTGACCTGCATGGTCAGACCCTGTACCAAATACATAAAAGTAATAAAAGCAAACCACACACACATATCCAAACACAAACTCAGCTGTGTAGCAGAGCACCATTCTATATCCCCCAGACAAGATCAAAGTAAAACAATTCTTTTAATGAAACATAACATAGGGGCCGGTGAAATAGCTCAGCAGTCTAAAGCGCCTGCGTAGGCAAATTTAGGCAGGCGCAGAGGACCACGGTTTGATCTCCAGCACTACATGTTGCCCCAGCTCCCTCAGGGTGGGCTGAGCTGACCAAAAACAAAACCAAAAAAACACACTTTTATTTTCATCTTGATTTGAATATATTCCCTAGTTTACTGGTAGTATTTAGACACTCAAGCCTACTGGCTGCAGTGACTTTAAATTGTTTTGAAAGCTGACACTAAATAACAGATGATCAGGCCTGTTTACTTTCTGTTGTCTTCTGCTACCATAAACTCTAGCCCCTCCACAAAAATGTCACCCTACTTTGGACCCAGCTGATTACAGACTGAAACATCTACGAACTGTGAGCTGAATAAACCTCTTACCCTTAAAAAAAGAAAAAACAGAACAAAAAGAAAAGCAAAACATGACTGAACTATCTCTAGAAACACTAAATACTGTTCACCGTATAAATATGATCTGCAGCTACATAAAAACATGAAACATACTGAATAATCAGAAAAAAAAAAAAAAAAAAAAGGACAACTGTGTCCTTCCACATAACTGAGGTTTCTAAACAGTGAGCCTGAAGACAGCCCTGATTCTAACCTGTCAAAAACACTGGACTTGAAATTCTAACCCTTTTAAGAAACTACTTAAAAGGCCCATCAGCTGCCAAAGCAGTCTAGAACATGAGACAAGAGCACATCTCTGAGAGAAGCCGAGATGACTTCCTAAGTACTTGAAATCGTATTAGAATGCCGTATAATCATGCTGGAAATACATACCTCAGAAATACATATGCCATCTTTCTTGGTGCCAATAAAACAATATAAAATGCAACAATTTCTAAATTGGTAAGACCAGAAAAAGGAGGAGTTCATTCTACAAATATATAAAACAAGTTATCAAGAAGAACTAAGCAGACCACTTGCCTCTGTGGAACTGGAGGCCATGTTTATTACAGAACATGCACAGGACTTCATTATACCAAGTTCAGAGCTGAGTCAAGGCAGCACCCATTTGTGATTTCATGTGAAGGAAGGCAGCAGAGGAACAGTAACATGGGGGACTAAACAACACACACAGGGGCTGGAGAGATGGCTCAGTGGTCTAAAGCACCTACTTAGAACAAGCTTGGCAAGGCATCAGGGATCACGGTTCAATCCCCCAGCACCACATGCCAGCCAGCCCTGCCCCCTGGTGGGCTGAGCTGGCCACACACACACACACCACTCTCTCTCTCTCTCTCTCTCTCTCTCTCTCTCTCTCTCTCTCAAATAAATAAAAAAAATAGAAAAAAAAAAATAAACAACACACACAGCTCGGGCTAAACGGCAACTAATTTTCCCCACACTGTTAATTTTTATTAAAACTAAATTAGGCAAAGGAAGATCCATGGGATTGTTCAATGCCTTTCTGGGAAGTTTATCTTTTTATTTAACAATATTCCCATGGCTCAGTCTACAAGTTTGTGTACATTAATGATCTGTCCTTTCGTGTATCAATTACAACTTGGAGCTGTGGATCATTTGCTACATGAATACAGCCAGAGCTGTAAGGAGATGTAATTTTTCTGCATGGAGACAAAAAACAAACGTTAATTAGAAAATAACTTTATTCCAGAATTTACCCAGCACCATGAAATGTGCAACTTTCGATTATCATTATACTCAACCCATTCAAGATACATGAAATGTCCAAAACCCATGACGATGATAAACCTCAGCACGATACCCAGTCGCATGTCCTGTCTACTGGGACAGAGTAGGCACAACATTCTCAATCCTGTATATGTTAGCAAGGGAGTCCATGTTAATTTTTACATGTTCCTTTTGTTGAGCAAACCCAAAATTGTAGTTCACTTTACAAAGTAAACCTGTTGCACTCACATATTTAAGAAGCTCTCAGAATGTGGAGTTTCAAGAATTGGAAGTGCACAACTGTGTATCCTTTGGAAATAGGGCTTTCCCAAAGCACCGTACCATCCTATTCAGAAGACTTAAAGACGATCACATCACTGCCCTCACTAGCACTTAGAGCAGTTCACTCCTGCTATTTGAGTTAAGTACCCAAGGTGAAGCAATTGCAGGTTTAAGAAAGGCATTATCTTACTTGGTTTAGTAAAATAATAAACATGATCCTAACTGGTGGTGCGGTTTGAGTCTAAATTTAATGAACAACAACAGTGCCACCTTCAGACAATGGAGATATACTGCCAAATGCTTTGAAAACCAACAGCTTTGGAAAACAAAATATAGAACACTGCCTGCCTGCACAAAATACACACACGAGCACAACCCACACATAGGGAGTAACTACCTTAAGAGAATGGGACAGCTGAGAGGTAAATTACTGGTAACTATGTTCACATTTTCCTCCTTAAAATCAATTGTGTAAAAACAAATACCTGATAATTATGTGATATAAATTATGAGGCTGCTGCGAATGGCTTAACCAGAAACGTATCACTGTCAATTTAACCAGAGCAAATTTTTTGGTAATCTTCATTTGAAGCCAAGTTATAAGCTTGCAAAGCAGAACCAAATAAATCATGTGGGTGATGGTGTGCCAAAAGAAATCAGCCAACTTAGGGATTGTGGTTTTTTTTTTTTTTTTTAATTTTTATTGTGTTTTCAATGGAGAAATACATCATCTGTTTACAAAATAGCTCTTGAAAAATACAAGGAGTACAGATACTATAAAACAAAGCAAACTCCAGTCATGAGACACTACATACATCATGCGAAAGCAACAGTCTGATTTCCAGATTATGAAACTAGAATTAAAAATTCACTACACAGAGAAAGTCCAAGTTTGCAGCTTGGCAAAACTTGGGTGCAGTTACATGAAACGTTTAATAAACTGAATATTTTTCCCCAATGTGTAAACAAAATGACAAGACTAAATCTGTGCCTGGCAATTTCCATCTAACTCTGAAGCTACACAACACACACAGACACCTTGTACACTTCACCTGTTAGTTGAGCATCTTTTCTTCTTAGGTGGCCGGGAGGAAGGGCAAGGTGACTGTGCACAACGAAGATGTGGGAAGTAGAAACATAGTATACTAGACATTATAAAGTCGTGGGGAAAAGAAAGCTCAATTAATGCATAGCCTAAGGGGAAAAGACTGTATTCCAACTTGAGAAAATTAATTTAGAAGCATGTGGAAGTTTTAAGTAACTGCAGTTTAACATGAAAAATGCACATATGTGATAGCATGGAGCACAATGGAAGATTCAAAAACATGCTCACTGGAGAAATCGTGTTAAGTTTGCCTTGTCCAGATTAAGAAACAGTAAGTTTATCAACATCTGGCATCCTGTATATGCTGTAAAGATGGATGTTATGCTGCTTTGTTATGGGAAATTATTTTCTTTAAAGATGTATCTAATCCTTTGTTAGAATAAAACAAAATAAAAAAGGAGTAGAGAGCTGACATGATGTTAAGTGCTTGTTAGAAATGATTTTTAAAATGTTTCTGTATGTAAAATTTGCTGACAAATTTTGGTAAACCAGTTAAAATAAAAATTAGTTTAAAAATCTTGGAGAAAATGCCTTTACGCCCACATTTAAAATTGAAAATCAATTTACTAAATAGACAGGAATAGGAGATCTGTGGAGTGTACAAAATTCCTTTACTTAGAGATCAAATGGCCATCCAAGTTAGATATCAGTTTCACAGGCATTACTTTTAGTCACCGGAAAACATCAGCCATGGGACCAAACTGTAGTGTTCTGTGCCACGGGTCATTGGTTTCACATCATGGCTTAGGAAAATACTGGCATTTTGGTTTTTGTGAAGTAAGTCCTACCTTGTGCATATACACAAAAAGATAAAAAAAGGGGGGGAGAGGGGCAGCACACAAAAAGGTTTTTCATTTCTTCCAAAGACAACAGATAGAAGGCAAAAGAATATGGAGCTTCAGTAAGCTCAAAGAAATATACTTGCTGGCTGATCGCTGATTTGTATGCACTACAAAACAATTCTATAAATAAAACCAATATATCATTTCTTAATCATGACCTCATCAAAACCAAGTATCTCCTAATTATTCTTTCGGTGTCAAATGTACACTCGAGAGTTGACATTTCATTTTTCCAGCTACCACTACCTTACATGGACTGAACTAGATGTACTCTCATTTTTTCTCTGCAGTAAATTCAGTATACTACTGCACAATGGTATCCAATTTGAAGACTAAAGGTAAAGGAAATTCTTTGGGAAAAAAAAATGAAAATCCATCAGGCTGAAAATCTAAAATTAGTTCTACTTTCTAATAAAAAATACATAAAAGTGCATCATCAGAATAAGGAATTCTTATGCCAGTTTGTATTGCAAATTTTCCAAACAATGCATCAAACATAAACCAAATCCAGATGTCAATTGTGGATAGAAATATAGCTTGAGGTTTTCTTTTTAAAGGCAGTAAATTTTTCTTTTAATAGTTAATGCAACTGTTGCTAACACAATAATAACAGTACTCCTGGCTTCACATACTAACCTGGACTTCCGATCAAGTGCTGATTAGCCCAGTGAGGGAGGTCACCAAAAAAAACCTAATCCATTTTCAGTCTTGTACCCTCCATTCTCCTTTTTTAGCATTTGAAGACAACAGGTTGAGTTGGCAGATATTGTTTATGGACCCCTGAGGTTGTTTTTACCGATTCAATCTCAGTTTTATTGAATTCTTGATAACAGGAATAGGATTTGCAGGGAGAGCAGGGATATCAGAAAGGTCTGTACTGGATGTTTTCTGAGAAAGAAAGCAAAGAACACACATATCACCACTCAAAGCCCTATTTCTTAACATTCAGATGTAATTTCCACTTCTTTATTTCTTATGACATCCTAAAAAAATAATGGAACCTTATTGTAAAGGGAACTTACAAGCTTAAAAAAAAATGCTCTGATATGCCAAAATGGAATGTAAACAAACATAAGTATTATCATCGCATTATTTGTTCCATATATGAAGAAATTTTCTAATAGTACAAATATTTACCAATACTTCAACAGACAGAAAAGTTTAAATGTAGCTTTGAAAAGCATGCTCGCTTAAGAACTCACATATTTATGGCATTCTAGATTTGTGAAGACTATGATTTTTCTCACTCTATACACTTTTGTTCAGAAAAAAAGAACAATCTACAGTGTCATTATCAAGTTAATGTTAAACTGCACTTACTTGTAACAGCTATAATATTAATCAGTACTGCAGCACCCCCATGTGGGAGAATACATAAAGTTCACCTTATACAAAAGAGCAGTTACTATTTTCTGACACTGTATATTATAAAATTGAATGTATGTAACTGAGCAAAAATTTAATTACCCTAAATTTTAGTCATTTTCCTTACTACATTAAGCAGACATTACACAGATTAAATCACAAGCCTTCTTTAGCATTCAAAAATGGGGACAAATTATGAAATGTTTGATTATGGAAAATTACAAGCATAGGCAAAAGTAGAGAGCACATACAGGGAAATCACCATGCCTGCATTATACAGCTTCGACTGTCAGATTAAAACACTTGTTCTCCCAACTTCAATCATTAGATGCTTCAACTTTCACCTCAAAACAAGTCTTTGTTAGCCATTACTACCTAACCAGGAACAGTCCTAAAGCCACTTTTTAAATTAACATAACCAGGCTTTGTCATTAGGCATTTTTTTCTCTCACTAGCTTTACAAGAGAGAAAAAAAAATCCTATTCATAAAAGTACCCAAAAAGCCTATACCCAATGGATTTTAAGGGCCAGCCAGTTAGCTCAGTGGACTGAGGCACCTGCTTAGGCAGACTCAGGGACCAGAGTTCGATCCCCAGTGTGCAATGCCAGCCCCACCCCAGGGAAACAGCAGTTGAGACTGGGCACGATGGTGCATACCTGTAACCCTTCCCGCCACTTGGGAGGCATAAAAACAGGAGGATCACTATGCGTCTGATCTGTGTAGTGAGACCCTGTATTAAATACGTTTTTTTTTTCTTTTAAAGAGCTTACCCAATGGGTTTTAATCACTGTAGAGGTAATCTAAGACAGATCTATGAGAATAGTTTCTCAGAAAGTAATGTGGCAATCAAAAGACATGTAAACACAATCAAAATACAGTTTAAATTTGTCCATGTACCAGCATTAAGCACATTTCCTCCTTCCTATTACATTTCAGTTATACCCCCCAAATGTTCTATTAGGTGTTTACAGAATTAAAAAAAATACTTCACAAACTAAACATATATTTCATATATAGTACTGTAAGTTAATGCCCAGCAAAAAGCACATTTTAACGTGATCACATTAAAACAACTGAAGCACAAAGCTGCAAAATACCATTAAGGTATCAGTACAGCAATACCACTAGGTAGCTGTTACCTCAGTTAATTTGTAGAGGTTATCCAGCATGATACTTACAGAAAATATTTACTTTGTGTTAGTTTTACTTGGGTTTAAATTAATCTGAAAAGATTCCAGAAGAAAAAAATCATTACAAAACCCAAATGAAGGTTTGTAAATTAATGAGAAAAAAATGACAGATGTGTACTGAACTGTCACAGGTAGAATTATTAGCACAACAGAAAAAAGTTGCAAAAAACTATGGACTATGCACTAAACAACTATGTGAAATTAGTGCTGAAAACAGAATCAGAATAAAAAGACTTTATTAGCCTTGTTTAAAAAAATTCACTAATAATGGTTTTTAAATTTTACTCTGACATTTAAATGTCTACGTTAAGCATGAGTATGATTAGTAAGGACTTAAAGGATTTGTAGCATATAAAGTGATGACTTACAGCATCTTCTTTTGATTTGCTTTATGAGAAAGGGTTTCTCCCTGGCTAGTCTCAAACTGAAGGTCTCAAGTGATCCTACCACTGCAGCCTCCCACACAGCTAGGTCTACTGGCATGCATCACTATGCCCCACTATTTAAATAATAGCACCGGAGAGTGAGTGAGTGAGTGAGTGAGTGTGTGTGTGTGTAGGGGTGGGGAGAACAGTCCCATCAAATCTATGGCCCTTGCTTTAAACTACAATATATGTATTTATAAGCTAGGTATAGTGGCTCATGCCTGTAATCCCAGCTCTCAGGAGGCATAGGCAAGAGGATGCCAGCCAGTCTGAACTATAGTGAGACCCTATCTCCAAAAAATACAGACAGACATTTTCAGGCTTCCAAATACTTATATTCACAAATTTAATAGACTAATATAAATGTTCATTCTAATTCAATATACCATGCTAATTTTAAGAACACAGACAAAATTCTTGTTTTTTGTACTTAGTTACCTGAGAGGCCAACAAAGAAGTCGCTGTCTGAGTAGGTTCTGATTGAGCTGTACTTGTTTCTGTATCAAGTTGCTCCTGTGAGACAGATGGGGAGAGGGGAAGAGAGACTTAAAAAAAGAATAAAAGAACATAACTGGGTTTGGTAGCTAATAAGGAAGACAAACTGGAAGATAGGAGGGATCAAGAGAGAGATGTGACTACATTACAAAATCATTTATTAAGCCTTGCTGGCTATTTCAACATCTGAGATATTTGTCTCCTTAACTATTATAAGGCATGGTCAGTCTCCTAATTTTTTCTGACTAGCTCCCACTTTGGCATTTTAAGTAAATAATAATTCAAGACATGCACAGGTACCTTGGGAAATAAGTCCAGACAATAATTAACAAATATAAACCCAAAGAAACCTCTTCACTCTGTGTGTGTGTGTGTGTGTGTGTGTGTGTGTGTGTGTTGGGGTAGGGGCAGTGGCTCACTCAATATTAAGCAAAACTACTTAGAAGCACAAAAAAATTGCCACACATTTAATTAAAAATAAAAAACATATCCTTCAGTGATTTTTCCCTCCTTATGGTCTCTCCTCTGACTAATAAGCAGTACATACTCTAAGAAGAAATCAGAGAACACAAACCAGAATACTTCACTGCTCTTAACTTCTTGAAGCATTGTACT